CTCAAGTAAAAAAAAAGAAGTTTATAGAATATTTTATACTCTTTAATTTAATATATTATATAAAAATTGTATTCTTAAATATTTATAAAACATTTCAATTGCTCTGTTAATATTAGAACATAACATTCAGATATTAATATATTAACAGTCATGCTAAACTAAAATGTTAATTTATAATAATTATACTAATTTATTTAATGAGAATAAAAAAACTGAATTTTTAAATTATTATTATTTATTTGCATAATTACATTATTATTTATTTATATGCCATAAATAATAACAATAGTTCCTACATAAATATATATATATAAAGGCTGCAATACACTTCCATATCCATATTTGCTGTGTGACCTAAGTTGGCATACAGTCAGCATACCTTTTTGATGCCTTTCCCATGCAGCCTTAGGTCTATAGGCCATAAAAAGTGTGCTTCGCATTCGAGATATCATGGTCTGCTGGCTGGTTTTGGGCTGTCTGCTTAAATGGGCGGTGGAGTACGAGGGGCTATCGTCCGGGCTTGGTTGGGACTGTCGTATGTCACGTTTAAAATATGCGCATTTTTGCAAATGACATTTGAGTCGCACGGCACTATCACTAATTGATATCATATGATGGAATTTATGCACAGACGCCCGTTAGCTGTATGGGTAAACGGTACTTTTCAGTTTTTTGAGCACCTCTCCCGCCCTACCGCCCTCTGTACCCACATTTGTTGCTCGAACCCATTTTGCGGTTTGTCGACGTGTCATGGCCATCGTGTCTGTTGCTGGCTTTTGCTGTGTCCGTTTCCTGCTCTTTGACTGCGCGTTGTGGGGCGAGTGTCCTGTCTGGTCTGATCAGTCATTTGTCAAGTTGTCAACCTAGTCTTGTTAAGCATTTCAGCCAAAATTATAATTTTATAAATCTTTTTTCATTTTCATTTTTTACTTCAAAATTATCTTTAAGTTTAACCAGAATATGGTTCTGTCAGCATTCCCGGAATGGCTTGCGGATTGGCAGCAGGCGGTTACAGAAAACGCACCCGATCTGGCATTCGTTCTGATCGTATTACTAACCACTGCATTCGCCTGCTATGTGATCGTTTTCCTTGGGCGAATTGTGGTGACAGTCGCTTCCACTAGCTTTTTAATTTTTCTGCTGGTAGTAGTTATGCGCTTAAGCAATCCTCAGAATAGCGAAAAGGAAGCCGCTAGCACGATTGAAACTATTTTCAAGAACCTAACCGATTACATCGCATCCACATCTAGAACCTCATAGTTGTGCAGGCATTGTCCATAAACAACTTACCCTGAGATGAACTTAAGGATGAGTGTTTTCAATACCAACTTAAATCTAACAAAGTAATTTTTTGTCTTGTATATATTTTTATATTGTAAGTCATTTCCATTTTTATTATATGCTAATAATAAGACATTTAATACATACTTAAATAAACAGTGATGCTCTTTGGAGCAAGAATAAATAAATTTGATATTAACCACAGCAGTCTTCAGGGGATGAGCTGTCTTTGAAAGACGTCGGGTCATGTAACCTACTTAGGTTAATACCTTTAATTAAATAAAGAGAAGCTTCCATAAACTATCGCCATACTTCAGTGTATGCAACTCAAGGGCTTCGTATCTCGTTGACATATTAAACAAAACTTTAACAAATATGCTGGGAAGCCAGCTAGCCAGCTACTCTATTACTGAGAAGCACAAAAACTGATATAACCGAGTTGATTGGTCGGCAGCTCGCAGTTGGTGTTTCTCTAGTTACCAAAAGCATCTCAATAATATTACGAATAAATATTTAATAAAGTAGTAAGTAAAAACCAATTTAAATATCAGCTTCGCTCGCTTGTCAATCACTTTGAATAACTATAGAACAATAGCAATCGCTCAATCCATATTCCGATTTGCATTCCATCTTTCATTTAACACAGCCAGAATGTCATGCATTCGAAAATCACTTAACTCGCACTGACTATACAGGAGTGTTTTATAAGCTACGTTCAATTGCATGATTTAGAACGATTATCAAATCATACGTTGCCTCACCCACTGCCCGAACAATGCTGCATGCAGCATACACACGCACACACAAATTGCTCGAACGCCCGCATCAACATTTTAGGCAGCTATTTAAAGCCTAAACGCCTGCCCACACACACACACACACACACACACACACACACACACACACACACACACACACACACACACACACACACACACACACACACACACACACACACACACACACACACACACACACACACACACACTCATACACACACACAGCAGACAGCCATGTTTATGTTTCGACAGCAACAAAAATGGCAGCTGTAACATGCAACCGAGCCCAGCACGCCTCTCCACTTGCTGCTCTGCCTTCGCCTGGGGCCCATGCTGTTGCTTGGTCGCTGACCGTGACGCTGGTTGCGCTGTCGCGAACCTTGTTGCAGTTTGAATGTTGCACGTTGCCGGCAGCGAGTTGCTGTTTGTGTTGGGCCAATGGCATTTTTGGACTACGTGCCGCAGCCAACGACTACTGTCTGCTGTTGCTGCTGGTACCTGATGCTTGACTTTCCTTTCTCTAATGAAATGCGGTTACAAATGCAATTTTACATTTTTCAAAAAAGCATTTTATCTGTCGTCGACAGGCCCGAGCACACAGACACAATTCCGACCAGACTAGCTGCACGTGACATTCAAATGTTTGTGTGTGTGTGTTGTTTTCCTGTTACCTATTCGGAATTCACATCCCCAGACTCGGAGAAACGTCAGCTTGTTTGCACCTTGTCGAAATTAGTGTTTGTACCGAGATGAACACGATTTGTTTGACCAGCAGGTGTTGAAAATACACTGCGCTGCCATAGTGAGTTTTCACTGTACCACAAGCGCCTCTATTTCCGTGCAGATCCCACAGCATTCATCTCTCTCTTCTCTCTTTCATTCTCTGCTGTCTTGCTGCAATGTTTTGTGTGTCACCCATGGCGTATGGGTAATGTTTTTCAAATTGTTGCGGTCGCTTGTGCGCTTGCTTCGCATTGTTCGTGTATTTTAGAGCTGTGGCTTTGAATTGATTGTCAGTTGTTCTTGTTGCCGAATGCTGCGTGTTTTCCTGACCAACTGCGATTGGTGTCAGTGCCGCAAGCTCTATACAAATTTCAGAGGAAGTACATTAAAAAGAAAATAGTTGCAGAATTTTATGAACTGCTTGCACAGCACTGAAGCCAGCATCAGCTTTCATCACCTACTACAGTAGTCTGGCCGACTTTTCGCTTAAACTTTTCTAGAAAACCAACAATCTGTGAAGCTGAACCTGTTAAACAAGTTAAAGAAGCGTATCGCTGGATAAAGACCCCAAGGCGAGCGCACTTTAATTCTATTAGACCCCAAGGCCCAACACCGCATTTCAACAACCACAGCAACAGCAGCAACAACATCAAACAACACATACATCAACTGTTAACAGCAGCAAACTGCAAACGTTGACAACTGTCCGTTGCGGTTGTTCTTGCTTTTGTTGCATCACATCGAGGGAGAGACAGAGATAGAGATAGACTGACAACTAGTGAAGCAACAAAAAATAAATAAAAATATAGCAAAAATCTGTAGCAGTGTCGGAGCCGCGACATGGTCAAACATTTGGCCAAGTTCGGCAGCTTAATAGAATAACGGCCGCAGGCGGTCATCCTGTTTGGCAAGTGGGCGTGGCTACGCCCGCCAACACCAGACATAAATAACAATTTATAGCCAAATGCCAGACGACCGGGCAAACAAATAAACAGCTGTGTTAAGCCTTTTCACAGTCCACTCATAAAATATTTAATTGCAAGAGTTTTGGCAAGCAGAAACTCTGCAAATTCGTCAAACTTTGTAGCCTTCTATAAATGAAAGATTTCGACACCTCACAATTATGTTAAGCTCAGATATAACTCCATATTTAGATTTACCACAGCTTGTAACACTAAAAATATTATGGAGTTCCAATAGCATTTAGCTAACCCGAGTAAGTTCTCCCATCCTTCAAATGCTCACAAAATGCTGTTGAAAACATTTCTCGAAACAACACTAAATTTTTCGTTTCGTTTTCGCTTTTTCTTTTTGCGCTTTTCATTTATAGCCGGAAAAACTATAAAATGGCAGCAGACGTCGCTAAAGCATAGCCAAAATCTGTCAAACTCAAATCACAAATGCAGACAAAACTGACAAATACGACTGAGCAGACAGTCACACTACAACTGAACAGCCGGACGGACTGTCAGAGAGACAGAGGGACAGATGGACAGAAAGACATCCAGTTGTCAGACAGTGCAACAACATTTGCTTTTCAATGCCAAAAACTGTTGACGGTTGGAAGATTGCAGTTGCAGTTAGGCCTGCTGGAAGCGGCTTTCTTCCGCTCTTCAAGGCAAACTCATTAACAAGTTGGCACATAAAATGCCAAAACTGTCGATGACTGGCGACAAGCTGCCGCATCAGCAGCAACTGCTGCAGTCGCATCAGCAGACGCTACTAATGGCTGCCTGCCAGTTTAATAGTTGCCTTTTGGTAGCAGCCACTGCTCGATTCCTGCTGCGAACGGCTCGTACTTTGCGGTGCGAAGTTTTAATAAAAGCCAAACAGTCGGCGACATATGTATGTGCACCAAGCAGCTGAGACTGCCAGAGCGGAAGGCACAGACACGGACTGATAAATACAGACAAATTATAGTGCCAGAGGCCAAGTACAGTGCGCTCTAACCGCGAAAGACTCATATAGCTTGGGCAATATATAAATATTGATATAAATTAATAAGCTTTATTGCTCTATCTTTGCAGCTATATTTAATTTTCGTTTCGTAACTAGAACTGGATTAAGCAAAGCTCCACCTTTTATTAACAGTTTATGGCACTGTTAGCAGTATTATGTTAAAGTAACCTCTAGTTATGTTAACTTAAATTATATCGAAGAGTTTTACACACACTTAGTTAAAATTATATAATATATTAAGCAATTTTCATTAGCGATCTTTATGCCTTATATACAACAATTATCGACCACACAAAATAACACTTAAATTTAAGCAAATATAATGCCAGTTCAATGTATTTGATGTCTACTGTAATACTAAATTGGAAACCAACAGCCGCGAAAATGATGTGCCACATGTGTTGTCAGTCCAATCGCACAATTGTTAACTTCTTGAGATAGTTAACAGAATCAGCCAGTCCGGAAGTCAAGTTGGTCTTTTGTCTTAATGTTCGCTAAACTGAACTAAGAAGTTTAATCGCAGCAGTTGTTGGCTTGTAGTGAGCAAATGCATTCACCCGGCGGACAACAGCAGCGACTCACAAACGATGTTTTATAGGGGAAAACAATAATGCGCCAATAAGCGCCTAGCTCGAGGGTCTCATAGTGATAGCCATCGTAGAGCTTGCTGCAGGCATGTCGCATACCATAAAACGGTAGAATGGGCAGTAAGCACACCTCAATGCAGTTAACGTAGAACTGAATGCCAGAGATTCGCGATGCCAATTCATAAACAGTCACGATGCTCTCATCGAACACATGTATCACATCGAATGGCGGCTGCTCCTTGATAAAGATCTGAGATGCCTCATTTACGGTCTCGAAACTCTTCAAAGTGACCACGCCCGACGGCGTGGTGCTGAAGAACAGATGGGTGATATTGTCCGTGACAATGATCGGACTGGCAATGGCCGGTGCATTTTCATTGGAAGCGACCTCATATTTAATGCCTCCCATTTGCAGCTCTTTTTGCGAACGCTCAAAATTCGGATGCAGCGCCACATGTGGCGCCAGCTGATGGAATCGGTCCTTAACGCGCGCAATGAACTCCTCGCGCACCGACTGCTGCACGGCCACGCTGGCAATGGGGAAGGGCTCGAACGGCTCATGCATATTCTCAGCCAGACAGTGGGCAGCCGTATTCAGATCACCGTTCTCAAAGACGAACATGAACCGTGGGCGCACCCACGATTTCTTGATCTGAATCGTCGTTTTCTGTGCACAAAATCGACATTTAGAGCCAAAGGCTAAAGTTCAAGTTGTGGCTACTGCTTACACTCGGATAATTGGGCTTGTCACATCGTAGACTCTCCACTAGATTGGATGATATAAAGCTGCGATGTGGTTCGCACATTTTGATATCGATTTATATCGATAATTACAATAATTTAGAAGAATATTTAATTAATATGTAAAGTTCATTCAGCTTACAAATTTGAACAAAAAAATATCCTTAAGCTAAGCTTGCTTCGAGCGTAATAAAAATATTTTACTTAAAAAGCTGTTAAGAAGATTATCGAGAATTCCGGTAGATTTATTTGAAAGACTCTCGACTACAAAAGTACTATCAAAATATATTGCATTAGAGAGATAGGTTGCTTAGTCAAGTTCTCTTTGGTAAACTTCAAATGAAAATCAAGAATGAAGGAATAAGAATAAAGTAAAGAATATTTCACTAGTGAATATGTCGAAGAGTAGCTAAATACAAGCCGAAAAACAAGACTGTAATTTGAATATGTTAAGCTGCTTTAAAATCAACAAGGCTTAGATCCACAACCATCGCAACAGACTAAAGCTAATATTATTCGACTCTCGACTCTTTGCGAGCACTCAAAGATTGCTCACGCTGTTGCCAGCACAGCTTCATCTGTGTTTTCATAGACAACAATAAGAACAACAACAACAAGTAGAATAATGCAGCTAACTACATGCCAGAGATATGTAATTTTCACAGCATACGCCGAGGCGCATAAACAAAACAGAAGACAAACTCCCCGCCGCACACACACGAGGCGCACAAATCAAGCGCAGCGGCCCGCCAAGTGGCGAACCAAGGAAAACATTTCATCTACCACTTCGGGGCCTGTGGCACTGATAAGGAAATGTCTCAGGCTTACAAGATGACGCCAACAATAATAACCCAGCCGGGCACGGAGCAAAGACAATGCTAATGCTATTTGCTCAAGTGCCATCAACGCTAGCATTATATGAAGTCTAAACAGAGGTAATAAATAAGTTTTTAGGATGCCCAAGTGGTGTACAAAATGGGCGTGGCAGTGCTTAGCTTTTGAGCTGATAAGAGAGAGAGAGAAAGAGAGAGTGAGATTGGCAGCGCTTGCTGGCCGCAGGCAATGTTAAGACGAATCAGCCAGCCTCATTGACAGCCAGAAATTATATACAAAATTCCAATAAAAATAAAATATATATGGAGTATGAATAATTAAATTAAATACTGATTAAGATTTTTTTACAAAATGTTTAACTGTTTAAAATTACTTTCCAATTGAAACCCAATTTGCGCGTTCTTTGCGGTCTGCTTGTGTCTGGCTCTGTCAGGCTTTATATTAGCGCTGCGAAATAAATAATGAAAAGCAAAAACAAAAACAGTGTAGAATCATTTACAACAAACAGTAAGAGACTGCTCGACGTGCAGATACCCTGAACGCTGCAAAGAGTTGATACGCCAATCATTCTAAGCTTCTCTTTGCACTATGGGAACTTAATAATGCAACTATTATTTCTTTGGGAGAAGAGGGCAGTATAAAAAATTCAAAAGATGGTATAGTTTATATCGACGAACAAATGGTCAGGTCTAGATCCACACAGCTCCTAGCTCTGGTCGACAATATACAAACTTTATGAGGCTTGCCACGCCTTTTTCGGCCTGTTATATACATTCTGAATCCTAAATTTCCATTTGCAATGGATTTAGGGTATAATAATTCGCGTGTTATGTTGATGTTAATAAAATGTATATGAATGAATATGTTAAATAATGCTGTTAACCTAACTGTTAGAGTGGGATGTGCAGTTAAATTATAAAAAAAAATTATAAAACAACTGAATGCAATATGATAAGTATTTTACGAATCGATACTCGACCTAATTGCTACAATATTTTCCTTACAGCTATTTAATGTAAATTTATTTTTAAATTATTTAAATATTTATTTAATTATATTTATTTAAATATATTTAAATAATTTAAGACCCAAGCTAAATATAACATGCAAATGTATAATGGCAGAGCTTCAAATGTAAACAGCTGTTCAAGGCTGTTATCATGCTGTTATCTAACAGCTACTTAGAAGGCCACAGAAACGATTAGTAAAAGCGCACCACACAGAGCTCTTTAAATATTCAATTCAGTTATTTGTATGTAGATGTAATTGCATTTAAATAATGAATCTGCCAAATATTTGAATATATTTCGGGGCATTTAGAATTTATTTGAGCTGTCAGAGCGAATTGACTGACAACAGAGAGGAGCAAGCAGCATTTCAATTTTGTTAACAGAAGCTGACAAAAAATTACTCGAAACAGCAGTCAAACTGGTTTCAACTGGTCGCATTGCATTCAATTATTCATTTTGCATGCAATTTGAAATTTGAATTTGAAATTTTTGCTGGTGAAACATTTTAATTAAATTTTTGACCACACTCCAAACACACACAGTTGTCACTTAAAGCCACAAAAATTACATATACGCAGCGTATTTGTGATTAAATTAAAAAAGTTGACAGCGCGAAAAGTTTGCCTTAGCGCTTTTTCGGTCAGTTAGTTTGCCGCATTTATGCACACAGTTTATATAACTGTGCTTTATAGAGGTTTTCATTTTTTAAAAATTGCATTTTTTAGTGCACTTCCTGTGTGTGTTTGTGTATATAATTTAATTAGTTGCCGGCTAAACAAAGCTGACAAAAACTCTAGGATTTTCAAATTGTCAGGCAGCGGGCTGCATGCAATTCATATTAAATTTGCTGACCTTTGACCATTTGCTAAGCTAACAGCGTGTAAGCATTAACTGAATAGCGGTTCAAGCGACTTCCCTCTCCTCCCACTTTCAACCACCCCCCGGCCATAAAGCACTTGAAAGATATGCTATAGCACTTATCGGAAACGAATTGTGCGCGTGTATTTGACTGGCGAAAAGCAAATAAAATATGAAAATGCTTCGTAGCAAGCGTTAAATGCATGCAAATGCCACTAGCCAATTGTGTGGATGTGTGTGTGCGTGTGTGTGAGAATATTTGGATGTGGCAAGCGCCGGAAGTGCAAATAACTGTTGCCAAACATTTTCGACGAAAAATGTGCGCATTGCATACATTTGAGTAGGTAGACGGGACGGAGGAGCGTCGGGGCCAGCCCGGTTAGTTATGGCAGTGACTGAAATGTCGGAGCTTGGGCCGATAACTGTTGATGGCGTTGGGAGGGAAGGGTGGCTGGGTCGCTACACCCGAAGAGCACCGTCGCTGGGGCTCAACATGCCGCTTGTTGCAATGCATGCAAACAAGATTTAACGATAAAATTTTAATTAGTGCATAAATGGGCGCTTGATTGTGTGGGCGTGGCACCGCATAGCGCAAGACATGCTGCCCAAACACACACTCACACACAGACAGACACTTATTGCGGCTTTGGCGCATTTTGCTTTTATTTGTTTTCGCTAGCAGGCAACGCACATGCAGCGAGGCATAAGAGTCGCAAGGCAGCCAATGGGGTCGAGGGGGCGTGGAAATGGGTTCCAATAACAGGGCTGTGCATGAAATTAAGCAATTTTGTGAGTGTGTGAGACAGATAAGGAGAGAGAGGCAGCCGGAGATTGTGCAATATTTGGCACCGAAACCATTTGGACACGTTGTGTACTTTATTCAAGAATAACTCGACAAGAGTTGGAGTGAAGAGCAACTGCCAAGAGCGTGAGCTTTAATTAAAGCTGCAGCTTGAAACTTATTAATTACTGTATAAGCTCGCATTTTTCTGCACATATTTTGTTGCTGATAAAGTCAACATTCCGCCAATTCAACGAGATGTATGTAAGCCCTTTCTCCACGTTAGTGGCAAGCCGTGAAAAGACGTGAAGGAATGTGCCCAACACAATGTTTGCATATTTCCGTTTATATTAGAAATCAGACACGCACACACATACACACACGCGCTCAGTCTTGCACCTGCACACTATTTCATGCATGGTTCTTTAGGTGCTCTGGGTGTGAATCCCGTTGACTGCTTTGCACCGCCGGCTCTAGCAAAATACTCGTAATAGTAAAAATGTGAGTAAAAATACAAGTATAAATGCGTATATATATATATCTGTATATATGTATAACAGGCAGCATACGATGGAGCACAACAGCTCGACAGGTACTAACTTTATTCAATATTGTTGCATTTTTTTGTACCCTGTAAACATAAATTGTGTCAATGAGGTACGCTGAAATGCGGTGAAGGCTGTTGTTAGTGGGGAAAATACGATTTATTAAGTGATACGTGTATAATAATTTATAAGAAATGAAGTGTTAAGTATTAAGTACCATTCATCGATTCGCTAAATCCATCAGCAGCCAAGATCTAGGCAGAGCATGTTTCGTACAGGTCTTCTGTGGAGATTTCCACAAATACAAATAATTATCTTATCTATTTTTCAACTACTTACAGCCAGCACTAATATTTCTATGAATAGTCGATTTTCAATGCATTTCTCGTCAAGATCTTTTGCAATTCTCTTCTTTTAATTATGTTCTAAACTAAAAGTGAGCATATCTTTATTTTTCATAATTTTTTTATGTATTCTGTAGGGCCCGCACTACTATTTTATTATTATTATTATTTATTATTTTGTTATTTTCACAGAAAAAATCTGAATCATTTTAATGCCTACACGAAATTTAGCTTTACAACGTATCTTCTAGTCGATCACTCGCATGCACTGTCAGCTGTGCCTGAGTTCCTTCTAGCTGCCTTTGCTCGATGTCTACTTTTATTTATTTTAATTTTCCAGCTCGGCTTCTACGTTGCATTCTTTTTTTACAGCCTCGCCTCGATTGCTGCTCGACATGCACTTTGCATACATTTTGCTTTTACGATCTGATGCTGCGTTTAAATATTTAGGAGACAGTAAACTATGTCTGTCTGTCTATCGGTACGTGGGTGTGCGCGTGTGTGTGTATGGCTGCTGAAATATTTATTAATATAACCAAAAGCCCACGGGCATGTCAAAAATATTAAACAGTAAATCGAAGTCAACTTGTTTAACATCAAGTCAAACGTCTTATAAACAAAATTTATGGTACATATTATTTAAAATTATATTTAAAATATGAATGTTGATTATACTCTCTTCGTATCAGGCCAGGGTATAGAACGAATGACTAGAAAATAATAACAGCACATAGATCGAACAACTGTCATCCACAGATGAGAGTGCTCTTAGTTCTGATTTTGGACTTCAAGCTCGGGCTTAAAATGCAAAGTTTGTGTTTTAATTAAAATATGTAAATGCGCCAAATCGCACAAAATACACAAATTAGAGGGCAGCCGGCAAAAACCAACCAAAATATTTCACACATTTGCCAAAAACATTTTACCAATAATGCAATTGCCCCATGCACAAAGGGGATGAGCGTGTGTGCGTGAGTGTGCCTGATTGGTAGTCACAGCTGTGTGTGCGTTTGTTAAACAAATTTGAAAATGGCTCGAATTAGGCGAAAACACCCAAGCCACAAAACAATTTAGTTTATTTGCGCCTAATTGCAAACAGTTGCCTGCCCGAAATGTAGTTCTCTGCGCTTGCCCCTTCAGTGTCGCTTGCCCCTTCAGTGTCACTTGCCCTGTTCCTAGTTGATATTTGAAGCGAGTTGTCAAATAGTAAAAGTTACGCATCATTAGTTTGCTACTTTGAGGTTTGACAGTTTGGATCTTGATCCTCGAACTAGCACAGCTTTAAGCTTCAGTTAAGCTTTAATAAGTACACTATGCAAGGATATATAGTTCAAGGTGTAAGAGGATCTCGAACTATATAAACTTGAAATATAGTTCAAGGTTAATCTTAGCTGAGTAGCACAGCTTTAAGCTTTAGTTAAGCTTTAATAAGTACAGTATGCTAGGATATATATTTCGAGGTGGACTTTATTTTCATTACTCTCTACTTGAAATAGTAATTATCTTTATGTAAGCTTTGGCTAATACCATAAACATGTTTGAAGGCTTTAAGCCGCTTTTATAACTGGGTCTTATAATACTGAAAAAGGAATATTAAGAGGCGTAAAGATATCAATGCCTAAGTTTATATATGTATTGATAATTGTTTTATAATTAAGCTTCAAAAACTTTAAGAGCTTTTGCCACCAGAATATGCATTTTGATATATAAAAAGTATGTTCTTATATTATAGAATATTATTTGTAGCTCGAGGAGATGCTTTTGATTTATATATATTATATATATATATTATATTATACATATCTGCATTGAACAGAAAAGCCTAAGATATTGCAGTCAATGAAAGCTTTTCGCTTGAACCTGTCTTTGCTATTGAAAGCTTTAGCTAATTGCCAATAAACAAGTTTGCATTGTGCTTGATCTATGAGCCAGATAGTAAGAAATATCTCTTGGCACGTGTTTTATCATACTGCAATTTGTAATTTTTATGGTAACTTGACTTGATTTTGTTGTGTTTTGTTTATTTCTTTGTGGAGAAATCCAGTTATTATGCATGCTTCAGTGGCATGCGACATTTGAGCTGGAGTTAAGGACAGGCAACGGCAGCACAGCAACAACAGCATCGTGGACAATAAATCGCCAAGATGTCCATTCTTATTTATTTTCGCATTTCGAGTGTTTAGTTTTCGCTTGAGAAAATCGCCATTTTCCTCAACTTTATTTCGGAGCGAAAATCTCTCATGCAGCTGACGACGAATGGGCGTGAGGGAGCATGAGCTCCCTCAACGAATTGAGGCAAGCAAGGGAAAACACAAAGTGAGAAAGAGCAAGAGAGAGCGAAAAAGAAAAATCTCAGCTCTGTCATTGCCATTTCAATTTCCGTTTAAATTTTGCACTTCATTTCGCAAGTTCGCAATTTTCATGTGATTTTTTCTTTGCCAAAACAAGAAAGAAAAACTTAAGCAGGAGGAAAACAAGTTTGCTCAACTGCTAGATGAAAACAAAAAGAGGCAATGCAAATACTCGAATATATATAAAAACACAGCAGAACAAAACAAAACAAAATAGAAATAAAACAAGCGTGAATCAAGCGAAGGCAAAGAAGAGATGACAATAAATTGTCACTTGCCGCTTGCTTGAAGAAAGCCTGCCCCAAACCCCCGTACGCTGCCTGCTTCGTCTTGCCGTATTGTATTGGGGATTCGCCGTATATGGAAGCTGCTCTAAAAATGTAAACACGAGCGCAATGATAATGATGGAAAATCATGGCCGAGCGAAACAATTGCACGTAGTGTGGCACGTCGCTCTGTCACGCCTTCCAAGTGCGAAATTCTCTTTTCGACCTGCTACGCCCTCGGCCCCTTGCTGATGTTTATTTGTTTGACAAATAACGAGCGCCATAATGAAGGAGGTGCAAATGATGTTGGCATTGTTTATTCGACTGCGAAATGTAATAGGCGCGCGGTGTCACGGGGCGACGACTTGCTTTTTATGGCTGATTTGACAGGAAACGGAAACGCGAAATTGCAAAAGCGCAATAAAGTGTAGCATAAACAAAGGCGCGCCCTGAATACACAACACACAGCACACAACACACAGCGGCATAGGCAGCTCTGTGCTCCGTGGAACAGGCAACTAAAATGATTCAAGCACTCGTTACCGTTGCGCAGCACTTGAAAATAAATTTGTTTCCACAATATCCCGCATTTGTATATCAAACATTGTCGTTCATGCTGTTGTTGTCGTCGGCGTTGTTGTTGTTGTTGTTGCCATTGCTGTTGTTGCTGTGCATCGTATTATTGTGTTATAGGCAGCAAACAGATTGTTTTCATTTTTATCTAGCTTTTTACATTCAATTCTCGTTGACATGTTGCGGTCGACAGTCAACATGGCTAAATATTTTAGATTAAATATATTTCGCAAACAAAAAAATTTACAAGAATTAAAGTAAATATTTTTATGCTCTGATACCATGGCAAACGGAACTTTGATCTATGATGTTTTGGCTAAAATGTTGGTAACACTCAGAAGGAAATATGATCGAAGTCTTGAGCAGGATCAACTTCCCAGTAGACTTAGTCCGTATGTAGGCTCTGCAGTAAGCTCAGATCCAGTTGGTTTTCAGTCATCGATTCATTCTTTCAGTTCTATAAAAATCGATAAGAATCGTTTTTTAATGTCCCTTTTTTACTTTTTGTAATTATTTATCAGAAAAGATAATTTCAGCTCTCTTATATGCTTAGTAAAATTTAGTACTATTTAAACCAATTCCATATCAAATCAAATCAAGACTTCCTTTCTTTAATGTAACTCCTGTATTTTATCTCAATTTTAAAACATTTATTGAAATGCATTCTTATAGAAATCCAATTTGAAGCCCTGCTACGCAAATAGTCGCTGAGAAGATTTTCCGCACTCAATACGATTTTCTGCACATATTTGCAATAAAGCGTAGAAAAGCTGCAGGTGGCTATCATCGAATGCAATGTCAGCAGATATTGAAAATATATAATCAGCACGAACTAAAGAAAATACTTTATAAGCAAAGCATACGGCACGGCAAACAGAGTTATGTAAGTAGATATGTGTGTAAGTATGCGTAACTCACGCATTTTCCTTCAGGCTCAGTGCATATTTATGAGCTCGTACGCCTTATAAATAAAGCAAATGTGTCAACAATGCACTCCACTGACATAACTGTAGCTGTACTCTGGATGGCTGAACTCACCTTAAGTGGAATGCAAGTGAAATCTCGTAATGGTATATGAAAACAACAAATGGAAATGCCATTGTACAAATACCCATATATTTTCATACCCTAACAAGCGAACAAAGGTAGCCATGAATGTAGTTGCAACTGGGAGCTTTTGATAGGTAATCCACAAATATAATAACAAGTGTGAAAAAACATTTTCTGTACAATAAATGAATCCCACATGGATCTGGATCATTAACATAATGTAAACATAACAGAGCAATTGACATTAACATTGATTTGATATTAGCATTAGCATTTACATGAGGCTGCGGTATTTTAATTTAATTAAAAGGTATTAAGGTATTAATTTAATTAAAAACATTTATTTGTTTAAAAAAAACTATATCATGCTAAAATATATTGTATAAATATACACATAAAAATATTATTGTTATTTTGTATCCAGGCTTGAATATTTATAACAATTTTGTTAATAACAGCTATAATTATGTTATGTTAAACTGTTCTAAGAGCAAAGCTTAATATTAACAGTAAATTGGGCATTTAATAAATACAAAAAGCGTTGAAATATCTGTTTAACTTAACTGTTAAATGCTCTCGAAAATATCAACTTGAGCTTTGACTGTCTATAGAGCAAAGAACCTTTTTTAAGCCGAGCACAAACAATCCAACAAAGTTAAGTAAGGCGTTGCTGTGTAGTGTAAACATAACGCATTTGACGCTTCAGCAGGAAAGTAATTCAAAAACAAGTAAAAGAAAAAAGAAGAAGAAAAAGGACAGAAGTAAGATGTGAAAACACGACCAAGAATTGAGAATAGCATTTGCATGACGCATTACAGTAACAGCAACAGCAACAGTTGGCTGCGGGTGCAGTCGGGCGTGGGAACTGCTTTATCGACGCAATGTTGGTTGCCAAGCAACCATAACCGTAATCGGAACGGTAACCAAGCGCCACGAAGACAACACAACAGGGGAAAATAAAAAGTGGGCAAAAGAACACGTAAAGGCCAGCAGCAAAGTTCGAGGCAAGAAAAAATGGTAAGAAATGCAGCTGAACATAGAAAAGATACTTGAAATGCTTGAGATACTTTGAGTTACTTGAGCTCCATACTCGCACAGATACTTTCACGTGGCAAGACGGATTCAGCCAGCTCACGGCATGTGGCAAGCGGCGGTGGCATGCAACAGCAGCAACGCAAAGCCCCCGCACCGGCAACATTAGAGGATTTCATCATCAGGCGTGACTATACAGGTGCGCGAGCCTTCTTAGAGGTAAGCGACAAATACCGCTTACATCTAAAGTTAGTAAGCTTAACTTTTTCTAAGTAGTATGCAAACGATGAGCAGGACGGGGAGGGCGAGGAGACGGCTCAGCAAAACGAACAGCAACAGAAACAAATCGATCTGTGGATTGCCTATTGCAATTTCCATTTGGGCGACTATCAACAGGCCCTGAATCAATATCAGGCCTTAAAGGATCCCCAGCTGGACCTCAACATAGCCGTCTGCATGTTCTATTTGGGCTTGTACGAGGAGGCACAGCAGCTAATGGAAGGCACTGCCGAGACGCCGCTGAAGCAGCGTCTACTCTTCCATCTCGCCCACAAGCTGGGCGACGATCAGCAATGGGCAGACCTTCTGGATATGCTGCTGAGCACGCCCAGCGTTGAGCAGCAACTAAGCCTCGCCTCGATGCACTATATGCGCGCCCATTACCAGGAGGCTATCGATGTGTATAAGCGGGTCTTGGTCGACAACAAGGATTACTTGGCCATTAACGTGTATCTGGCATTGTGCTTCTATAAGCTGGACTACTACGACATGTCGCAGGAGGTGCTCGATGTGTATTTAAGCCAGCACAGCGATAGTACCATTGCCATCAATCTGAAGGCCTGCAATCGCTTTCGACTCTTCAGCGGACGCGTCGCTGAGCAGGAGATCAAAAACATTGCTGACAACGGGACATTCGGTGCGGATTTGATACGTCACAATTTGGTGGTATTTCGAAATGGCGAGGGAGCACTCAGAGTGCTGCCTGCTCTACTCAATATTGTGCCCGAGGCCCGCCTAAATCTGGCCATCTATTATTTGAAGCAGGGCGATGTGCAGGAGGCGCATGCCCTCATGAAAGAATTGCAACCAACATCGCCACATGAGTATATCCTCAAGGGCGTGGTGCATGCCGCACTCGGTCAACAATTGGGCTCGGTAAGTGCTAATCATTTCATATTATAGACTGATAGAGTGGCAACACTCAGAGATAACTAATTAGGCTCTCCACTATGGAAATTGAATGCATGTTATATTAACTTACAGTCGTTGCATACATTCAGTGCTAGGAGTATATACAAAAGACAGTTGATTTAACCAAATCCACATTTATTAGATTAGATAATCAACTCATATGTGGCACCATCGTCGACTTCTTAAAAAAATGTCTTTCATAGTTAAAGATGTATTCACTTATAGCCCCAGACTTATCTTGACTTCGCTTCGGTACTATTAATTCGAATTCGCATACTTATTATATATCCTAAGTAGCATGATTCCTATCCAAAATTCTTACAGAAGGAGCACATCAAAACGGCACAGCAAAATCTACATCTTGTGGGCAGCTCAGCCACAGAATGTGATACGATACCCGGACGTCAGAGCATGGCCTCGGCATTCTTTCTATACGAACAGTTCGAGGAGGTGCTCGTCTACATGAATTCTATACGCAGTTACTTTGTAAACGATGACGTATTCAACTATAATTTCGCCCAGGCTAAATGCGCCACGGGCTATTACAAGGAGGCCGAGGAGCTGCTAATTCAGATCAGCGATATGGACATAAAGAATCAGCATACCTATTGCATGATCCTCTCCAAATGCCATATACACTGCGGCCATCCAGAGCTGGCATGGAATATATTTATTACAAGAGACACAAATGCTGAAGCATTCCTTTTGCTGCAGCTAATTGCGAACGAGTGCTACAGGTGCGAGGAGTTCTGGGTGGCTGCCAAAGCATTCGACATGCTTGAGAAGTGAGTACTGAGAGTAAGTAACTCTCTTAGGGTATATCAAAATTGTATATTTTTCCTCAACAGACTCGATCCCAGCCCGGAGAACTGGGAGGGCAAGCGCGGCGCTTGTGCCGGTGTGCTTTATGCCATGGCAACCAAGGCCCAACGGGGTCGCCCAACTGGAGGCATCTCCGAGGTAATTGGCCTACTGCGTGAATCATCGAATTCACAGGCAGATGCAATGATTAAGACAATTAGAAAATATATAAGTAGTTTCAAGTGAATGCAATACGAATATACATCTACATCTATAATCGCCTATATATAATATTATTCTAACTGCGTATTAATTTGTTTATCATTTATTTTTGTACTATTTCTTTTAAATCAATAAATTTGTATTTTAATAAAAATTATGCGTATAACTGTTGTTTTACATACAGGCAGCACATTACTGTTACGTAACAGCACTTTAACATCGAGCAAATGTTAATAAAAGCTGTTCATCTACTTTCATCATCTTTTAGGATGAGTAAGCAAAAAGGATAACAACTTTCTATATACTAAAGTCTGTTAACACGAATAGAGAGAAGTTAGTAACTACAGCAATATTATAATTCACAGACAGTGTAGCCAACTATAATACTGTTATATTACTGTCATATATCCTGTCTTATGTTATTACAGCAACTCGCTGTGGAAGTCCTTCAGAGTGGCATTAGGAGCTGCTTAACAATTTATAATCAACCACTTAAAATGTAAATATTTATTGAGTGAATATTTCTTCAATTTCCTTTGAATATTAATGTCGCCCCTAATTTTACGCAAAACTGTATCGGACGCTATGCCGCACAATTTGATTAAGTGCAGCTGTTAATTAATTCAATATGAATTTGTCAAAAGTTAGTTGAAGATGGAAGTTGGCAGCCACAGCCACTTAATAAATCTTGGCTAATTATTATCAAAAAACTAACTAATTGATAATTAATGAAATAAAATGGCATCTTCTCTTAATATTCGCTATTCCTGATGCTGTTATATTCAATTCAATTCCCAAGTGAGGCAATTATATCTGAAATGTAAGCAGGCTTACCGTCTCTGTCTCTCTTTCGCTCTCAGTCTCTGGACTACTCTCGGCCTGTCCTTAGCCTCGCCTGCAGTTTGCCTTTGTTCAATTTGTTGGCCATTTGCCTGCAGCTAAAAAGGCCCAGCAGCAACTGAAAGCAGCGCATAATTAATGCGATTAGCAAATGCGAAAGTGTGTCGGTAATAACAACAAGGACAATGCTCAATAGGCGACAACAAAAAGGGACATCTGTGCTTGACACAACGCCTCTTAAATACACTCTCCTTGAGAAAAGCAAAATATTTAAAGTAGTTAGAATATCTTAGCCTAATTAGTTTAAATCAACTACAAAAACTTAAAAGTCTTATATTTCAATATAACATTTACTTTCCTTATAAAGAACAAGAATCAAGTCTAAATATTCAATAGCAAAAAGTAATTAATACTGGCCATTATTTGCACTGGCCAACAAGACTCAGTAACTAAAAAACGATGCTTTTAAAAGAGGTTTTAGAGAGTAGCTTGTGTTATGAATTTGGCAACCTAAAAAGTTAGTTTCAAATTAGGATTCACAGTGACAAAACTATTAAAATAGTACACCCAATTCTTGATTGCTAAATTGATATCAATAATTGTTGGCCTATATTACTATTCGATAACAATTAGGAAGTGCACACATAGAAGAATTGAAAGCGACTAAACATCTTAAAGAGTATCGCCTATGACTCCTACTTTATGTTTCAACCTTTGCAACATTGTGATAGTGCCCCCTGCAAAGAACGCACTTCAACCGAACGCATGAGGCGGGCCAACCAGCGGAAATGTGTCGCAGCCATTTTGTCTAATTGGCTTTGCTACAAAGTAGAGATAAACCGGAAATGGCGCAGCATTTTCCCGAGCATTACTGTACTTTTTTTTGGCTATTTTGTTCTTCTTTTTGGCAACACTTTTGCTAATTAGCCGAACAAATATTTAAAGAACAGTTGCATTAAATTTAAAGACAGATGCGGCTTTCATTTTTTCATCGCTTCGTTTTGTCTATGCATTTATATAATTTTTTTGTAATCTTTGCTTAAAAACTTTGGCCTGGCCATAAATCAAGCGGCTCCTAACTCTTAACAATTCCATTACAGAATTAAAAGTGAAGAGAACTTTCAAGACAAAAAGGAAAATAGTTATTAAATATTTCTTTGGCTCGATGGCTGAGACTGAGAAACTCTTTTGAGCCGCACCTACAAAACCGAATGCCAACACAGACACAAAGTTTTTCCGATGCTTTTCACTGCTTTGCTTAATTTTCCTTCATTCCTTCTTCCTTTTTGCGCCCAACTTGTGTGCAAAACTTTTGTATATTTTGTTGCGCGATGCGTGTGGAAAAGTCAAATGGTGCCTTCTTTTTATTTCAAGTCCTTGTGAAACTATTAATTTGCATGATTATCGTTTAAGCATAAATTCATTTAAACGACATTGTCGTTAGCAGACACAAATATACATATACACTTACAGACACCCACCCACCCCCACCAGCACACAAACACAGACACACATGGCAAAATGGCGGCATTTGCCTTGGCTTTCAACTGGCTGTAAGTAAACAAACTTTTAAATTCCATTAAGTGCAATAAATTTTGCAACTGATACAAGGCAACGGTAAGGCAACTGTAAGGCAACGGTAAAGCGACGGTAAAGGCAACCTCGTTGGCAACACTAACACAAGCCAGTTGGCAGCGCACTCTGTCAGCCATTATCAGCAACTTTTTTGTTGCACGTCTACGTCTTGGAGCACCTTTAAACGTTGTGTGTACAAAGTTTAATTAGGCGCAGCATCTCATTAAGTTTCGTCTAAAAGCGCATTTACCAACACTGCAAAGTGCATATCCGCCAAGGATTTGAGGGAGGAGAAATCTCTGTAAGTAAATATTGCACTTATTTATTCTAATTTTAATATATTTACATTTTCGAAATAATAGAACTATTTTTGATATAGATAGATATTTTTAGATATAGATATACATATAGATATAGAAATAGATACAGATATAGATATAGATACAGATATAGATATAGATATAGATATAGATATAGATATATATATAGATATAGATATAGATATAGATATAGATATAGATATAGATATAGATATAGATATAGATATAGATATAGATATAGATATAGATATAGATATAGATATAGATATAGATATAGATATAGATATAGATATAGATATAGATATAGATATAGATATAGATATAGATATAGATATAGATATAGATATAGATATAGATATAGATATAGATATAGATATAGATATAGATATAGATATAGATATAGATAGATATAGATTTAGATATAGATATAGATATAGATATAGATATAGATATAGATATAGATATAGATATAGATATAGATATGGATATAGATATAGATATAGATTTAGATATAGATGTAGATATAGATATAGATATAGATATAGATATAGATATAGATATAGATATAGATATAGATATAGATATAGATATAGATATAGATATAGATATAGACATAGATATAGGTAAAAAAGTTAACCAAGTAAGCCTTCTATTAAATTTCACAATAATCAATCATCTTTTTCGTAACTTCCGAAACGGACATTCGAAAACGGACTCAGATCGTATTTACTCAAAGGAAATAAAATTTTAAGTTATTAAAAAATTCTGTTTTAAATGAGATGGATAATACATATTCGAGTCTCATTGCGGATAGTCTCCGATTACATGTAGACCGGAACGAAAAACTGCACAAGATGCGAAGCGGGTTACATGTTGAAGCAATGAAGATGATTCAAGAATTAACTATGCTCGAGAAGGAAGAGCCCCCATGTGGCAGCTCGAATTTGGAGCAACGTGGCATGCTGCAACTGCTCAATTATCTGATTGTTGACTATTTTAATTGGCATGGCTTTACGAACACAATGAAAACCTTTGCTCTAGAAACGGGCGAAAAGTCGCGACCGAAGCCGCGTGATAAGCTGCAACAAGAGCTTAAGGGAAAATTCATCCACGAACATCTGCCCATTCTGTTGCAAATGGTGTTGAAGGAATCTAATAAAGCCGACGACGCGTTGCTGGAAAAGAGTTTGTGGCAGAATATTCCAATTAAGGTAGACCAGGGCCCAAAAAAGTTGAAAAAAGCACAAGGCCGACTACGAGCAACAAAAGATCTTTCAACTAAAGAAAAGCCCAACAAAAAAGGGAAACGAGATGTTTACGGTGACGATGATGACTCAGATATACCAGATGAGGGAAAACTAAGCAACAATAGGGAGAGGAGACCTAAGAAAAACAATGCCCCTGCCAAAGAAATACGAGGCGAAGCCAATACTGCAAACACGATGATAAAAGAGCATCAGCCTAAAAAAATATCAAACAGTGCGAAAAACTTACAGAAATTCAGTAAAGCCTTAAAAAGTTTTCCCAATCTGAAAAGTTTTACCCACCTTAAAAGCTTTAATGAAAGCAAGATGAAGCTACAACCTACTCATGAAGCCCCGAAAAAAAGGGAGAACTCAAAGGGTCCTACTCCAAGGACAAAAGAGAAGACTGTGAAAACCCTGTCGCAGAATATAGAAACTTCACGTGGGTCTTGTCCTAGTATCTTACAAACAAATTCCAAGGCGTTGCCAATAAGAGTAGATCAATGGAAGAAGGAAATTTATAGTAAAGAGTCCCCAAATAGATTGGAAAACCTGAAAAAGTCTTATCTGACCTTCAAAGATATGCGAGTCAAAGGGCTGCCGACTAATCCGATAAACATACATGAAACTAGCGCCGCTATCGACACTACCAAAAACAAAGTAAATGTGCGCCAAAGAATGGTTGAGTCCAATGTCCAACATTCCAAAGTTCCTTTTTGACGGCTAGCGGGTCCTCCTGTTTTTGCCAAAATACATTCTTCGAGCATATTTTGTGACAAATGGACAACGCATCTCGTGACTGTTTCCTAGACCGAAGTGCAAGCTCCGTTCACTAAGGTGAATGTTGGAATAATAACTGTTGAAAACAATTATTTTGGAAAACAAGACTCGTTTTAAATGGTACAAGAAAATTAACTGATTTGATTTGATAAAATTCAGACAATTTTTGAAATAAAATTGAAATCGTTTGAGGGAAATTAAATTAATTTTGTTCTTATTAAACACAAAGTACTCCCTAAAAGCCAAAGTCGATGCGCTGCTTTTTGCAGCAGGTGAGCCGAGCACTTCAAGATGTCATTCACTGCACTTTGACTTCAACTCTTGAGACAGATCCAAAAACTTGGCAACGACGTGGAAAGTTCACCTAATGGCTAATGTATGCAGCCTCCAACTCAAGGTTATCTGCATGATTAACGAGCTGATGCCGTTAGCCGCTAGCTTGACAGAAAAAAACTTTGTAGACAAAAAAATTTATATAAATTTACGTATATATATATACAAATAAATGGAGAATTGTCTAGAACGGAGTAAGCATTTAGTCGAATTCATAGCATATTAGGATCTCTCTGGTTTCAAATACACATTCAAAATCAATTTGATTTCAAACTGTTAGCTTGCAAAATAAATATAAATTTCATTCGTTATCGACTTACAAATTTACTTTGAAGCGTTGTATTTTCAGTGCTCAGTATGGCAAATAGCTCGTATTCACAGATTATGGAAGACAGTATTAAGCTGCACTTTGAACGAAATGGCATACTGGACGAGATGCGTAGTGGACTGCATGTGAAGGTGCTGAACATGATGCGAGGCGAGAAGGACCTAAGAAAGGATGAGCCACTCTGTGGGGGCGATATGAAGCAGCGGGGCTTGGTGCAGCTGCTCAACTATCTGGTGGTGGACTATTTCGCGTGGTACGGCTACAAGCATACTCTGGAGACGTTCGCCCTTGAAACGGGCGACAAGTGCCAACTGAAGCCGCGTGAGAGGCTGCAGCGAGAGTTTGGCGAAAACTTTGCCCGCAAGGATCTGCCCATTCTCTTGCAAATGGTGATGAAGCAAACCAAAAAGATTAATGAGAAAAACTTGCCCGAGTCGCCAATACAAGCCAACATAAGCAGGAAATACATTCAAGCCGCACCTAAGGGAAAGGATATTCCACCTGAAGGCAGTTCAAACAATACACCGAATTTCCCGACAACGCATGTCAAGCCTAAAGATATTCAAGCCGATGATAGTGCAGGCAAGGTAAATGTGCGAGAAGCTATGAAAGAGTCGACAAAAGTTTTGACGAATTACTCATATGCGAAGCGTGTTAAAAGATCGTCCCCTACCTTAAGGAAAACGCGACATAGTTCCGAATATGAATCAAGTTCGCGGTGCACGACTGAGTCCGGTTCGCTCGAAGAAACATCCGATGACAGCGATGCCTTCGCTACAATACCCAATAGGTATTATTATCGCGAACAAGAGCTACCCGAACAAACATATCCGAACGGTTTTGGGGAGGAAGGTCCCTATGAGGTTCCCGGTCAAGTGAATATGCGCAAACAACTTAGGCCACAAGCCATTGTCAAGCGAAAGCCCCTGAAAATTGTTGAAATGCGGAGCGACGCCGACAAAGAGATGCCTCAGTGCAGCAAGAAAGATACTGCTAAAAGAGCTAATACCAAGAGCTCAGAGCAAACTTCAAAAAGGCGTACAATATACAAGTCACTAATGGCAGTTGGGAAGCCTAACTGCCCCGAAACTATGGTCGGCACCATGCAAGAGAGCTCCGACGATAGTGACGAGGATACCGATGACTACCTATAAATAAAATGTCATAAAAATTAATTCCGTTCCAAAATGCTTACAAAATTCTTAAGCTGTGATTTTTACTGTAAAATATATTCTCATCCATTGTTGTAATTAAAGTTCACCGCAGTTTCAGCTAAAATATGTGATTTAAATAAAGCACTGAAATCTGACTGTTAACAGAGTGATTGCTAATAGTTGCTAGTGAAAAGGTCATACCAGAGTGTCGTCTTATATGCAACTTTAAGAAATATTAAATCCGGTTCAAGCTGAACAGCGCCAGAAGGAAGTCTTATTATTTTGCTTCTCCCAGTCAAAGCCATTTGATATGACAAACACAAACTATACCAATGTGACGGCCATTAGTGAATGCCTTTCGGCCATGGGGCGGAACGATGAGCTGGATCGGGTTTCATTATAATTGAAGTCAATATGCGAGTTCGCAGAATTGTCTGAACGGAAAGTGCAGCAAATGCAAAACAGACAGCATCCGTCCGTCAATTGCATTGCATTAATATGTCGTGCGAGTCTTTACACCATTAATTACATGACCAATGGGTCAATATTATGACGGTTTGCAACTGAGATTCTTGACGCGGCGTCGTTGCCAAAAGCCATAACAACAAGGACAACAGGTACAACAACATACTCAATCAATTAATTAGGCATCTGGTGTGAGCCATCATTTGCTGCCAGAGCCTTTCAGGGCTGCTTGATTGATGCAGCTACAAGCTGCTGGACACTTAGCCTGCAATTAACTTGAAAATGAAAACAAAATTCACAGAGCAGAACTAGTCAAGCATTAGTGTTGAACAGACTCTGACTGGAAGTTGAGAGTATCGCAAACTTCGAAATAGACAAAGTTATTGATTTGAATTAAGAGATAAGCAAGAATTCGCTAATCGAAGACAACAAGTTAATAAATAAAAAAAAAAATTATAAATCATATTAAAAATCAAATCCAACGCGGCTATATCAGGACTTTTACAAGCAATAACTAAACATATAAATATATATATATATATTGACAGAGATTGTGGAACACATAACTATGAAAGTTTTCATCTTAGTTATCTATGGGAAAACCCATTCGGCTGCTAAGCAAATAGTAGTTGGGCGTGTAAATTGCAAAGTAATCATCATTTGAGATAGCCGCAGAAGAAATCACGTGCATGTTGCTCACATGTCAGCAGCGCGATGTCTGTGCCAGTGTCATTTCATTACTTCGCCATTTTCCATTGTCCAGTGCCACATTTCCCCACGCATGCCACTAATGAGGCTCGTTAGCGTGGTCGTTGGTTTGTCCAGTGCGTATTCTGCTCCTACTTCGATCGCCCTCAACCAGCTCCTGCTCCGTAATGTATGCAATACGCCAAATTGTACAAACGTACTGGACAAATCGATAAAGTAATTTGGGCATTGCAAAACAAACGACTGGCAGCGGATAAGCCCCAAGCAAAGGGCAACGAGCAGCAGTTGTTGCCCTCCTTGCAGCAACCGCTGCCCGCGAAATGTGCCACCAGCAAATACTGGCCACATAATTTTGTTTGGCTGCAACAGCACGTAACAGCATTGACTGACTGACGGACTGACGGACGGACTGAGTGACTGGCTGGCTGACAGACTGACTGACTGCGACTCGCTGGACTTTGTCCAGTTGGCAGTAGCCCGTTGCCAGTCGCCTAATTGCAGCACCATCTTGCGGTTATGCGTTCTACGTGCGTTTGTCGCACGTTCGGCTAATTAAAATTGCATTTTTGCTACCCTTGGTTATTGATATAGCCGATGTACCATATGATATCATACGTGCAGAAGGGGTTGCCCTGTGAGTATGGTTGCCGGTCACATTTTGTGGCCAATTATGAGCAATGTGTGGATGAAATATGTGAACCTGGCTTGGGGAATTGTTTAAATTGAATGAGGTATAATTGGTTATTTAATGTGAGGATCGCAGAGAGAGGCAATGATTTTTTAAATGAGATTTTATAGCTGTTGAGGATATATGAAATTATAGATAGACCAACTGCTTCAGTTAAACGTTCAAGTATTGACGATGAGAATCACAGAGAGAGGCAGTTTTTTGAATTAGATGATGTTATGCAAATGAAGATAACTTCTAAGAAGATAATGACGATAAATTATAAAGATAAAAATGTAATGAGTAATGAGAGACTTTAATTTATTTTTCATTTACTACACTCTCAGTTTAATTTACTATTTAAAGTATTCTTAAATATATTCAAATGTGATCGTATCCTATATTAAATAATATCCTTTCAGTTTACGCAACTGTCCATGAAGGAATTATGCCAAATGCTAAAAATCAATTTTTCAAAAACACAAAAACAACTTCAACAATTTAGTCTAACCCGTTCGAGTCCCACATGGCGTATGTGCAATAATAATGCGTGTGTCACTGGGCAATGGACCCTAGACTAAAAAGATTTGATGTAAATAGTTTGTGGGTTTTTCTCGACTTTTCAGTCAGCTTATAAAATTGTTTTGCTCCGTTTTCATATTGTTGACTGCAAATTTGGTGTGGTCAAATTTGTTTGGCATGTTCAATGCTCATTTGTGGCTTTGGTTAGATTTGACACAAAATCAGGCACAGAAACCAAATGGACTTTAATCCAATCAGATATTAAGCCAAAAGCTTTTTACCCTCTGAATTCATTTGAAGCTGTGGGTAGACACAGCTAATGCTCCTGGCAAAGCTGCTTAAGCATAAGATCTTAAATTATTCAGCTGCTCATTTTATCGGGAAAGAAAAACAGATAAATTTATATGAGAAAACTAGTTAGTTGGATTTTCTATACCAACTTAAATATTAACAAAACTAAAGTACGTGAAGTTAAAGTTTTATATAAGCTTTAATAGTTTGTTTTTTTTTTTTTAACATCAAAATTTCGATTATTTTGATGCATAGGGTATTCGAAAGTCGTTCACAAATCTGTAGTTAGTTCCATCTTAGTGGTTTAATTTATGTTTTTGATATGCTTAACTTTTTGCAACAACAAACGACACAGCAAGCGACGCTGATGAGTTGACAAAAGCTTAATGAAACTTAACGTAAGCAAACAGGCAACACACACACACACACATATACAGCAATAGAGCAAGATACACACACACACAACGCCATTTTGTAAGCAGCGATGCGAAAAACGTATTTTAGTGATTTTTAATGCGAAAGCAATTTGAAAAGTTTGTTTGCCAAAAGTTGAAATGATAGAGACATGTAGAGGGTGGTGCCTTGGTGTGGTGCGTTGGGTGTTTGTGGGACGCCTTGTGCTGGCTGACAACTCCAACTTGTGGGTGGCTGATTAGGCAGCCACTGCACACACACATTTTTGAGGCTGTGCGCGACAGCCGCGACAAAGCTGATTGAAATAATTGCGGGTGTTTGCCTGAGCTTAGCTCTGTGTGTGCGTAGGCATGACATGGCGGCCTCTCAGTAGACCTGTAAATTATCAAATGTGTAAATTAGTGTAGAAAATGCGGGATAAGCTGAACTTGCTGACAGGTAAAAGAAATAATGACAGTCAAAACAGTTAATTGGAGCTGCTGCGGCAGAGAAAGCGACACGGAAAAGTAAATTAAAGGAAATGAATAAAAAAATGCACAGTTAACATAACGTGAGACTGGTAAACTACGTAATGCTCTGCATGTTAACGTTAGCATAGATGCATTTAGCAGAAGCTGTTAAAGCTAGCAGTTAGATATTATGTTATCTACAGAAAGTGATGTGTTTTCGGTGCTGTTATATGTCATATAAATCATGTTGTAGTTAACAGAGACTGTTAATGCTAACAGTTGCCCTTAACATGTCGTATACATACCGTATATTATACATACATATATATATTTATATATATAATATATTTATATATATAATATATATATATATATATATATATATATATATATATATATATATATATATATATATATATATATATATATATATATATATTGAATCGGAATTGATTTACAGAACAGCCTATGCACTTACAATTTATTTGCATTAGGATTTTAACCAAGTTTATGCTTCAATAATAGCTTAAAGAGGCTAAAAATAAAGGAAGTTAACTTTTTTGCTCGTTTATCACGAGTCATTTGTAGGAAATTCGATGTTAGATGCTTGTTACGCCAAAGTGTTGTCTACTCTATTAAGTTTTCCATTATAGATGATAGCGATCAAAGCCTTGGCGCTTAGTTCAAGCAAACGCACACACACATACAACCATACACATATGCTCACTCACACACTAAACAAATTTGAGCAAGTTGAAACGTAAATCGAATAAAAGGCCCAAAGTAAAAGCAGTTACCAATATGGATACAGGCTGCAGAAGCTGCTACTTTGGTGTCGACAAGGACACAGGCTTACTAGGAGTGCCAAGGGGTCGAAGCGAGAGAAAGAGAAGCAAGTGCAATGTGTCTTTGCATGTGTTAGTGTGTGTGGGACTGTGGGGGCGTCATGACAACAATGGCATTTTGATACTTTTGTATGAGATTTAATGAAATTTGAATCCTTTTGTTGAGTGGAATGACAGCGTGCGAGAAACTGGGAAAAAGGAAGACACAGACAGCGATGAAGTGAGAGAAAGGGAGCGAGCGAAGAGTGAGACAGAAAAAGTGAGAGAAGGAAACAAGCTGCAGGCGAAGCTGTCTTGCCTGCCAATGCCATGTCATGTAGTTAAGGTATTTTCGGCTCTCCATGGGTGCGTGTATGTGTCTTTGATATGATATGAATGTATGTAACACAACAATAGTAAAACAATCTTCTTAATGCACACTTTGGCCTAAAGGAATTTTTCACTTGTAAGACGAAACTTGTAAACACACAGAGAGAGAAAGGGAGCGAGAGCAAGAGAGAGAGAGAGAGAGAGGAAGAGAAATGCCATCACTTGCCTAGCAGTGCCTGTTAAGCTAGTATGAGTGTATGTTTGTCTGTGGGTACGTATTTATATAAGATACATATATTGACAAAGAAACATGTTAATAAACAGCTGGAAGTTTGCTTTATTATCATCAGCTCAAAAGCAAGCAGGACGCCACGCAAAAAGGAAGTAAAAGCCAGGCTGAAGACGTTTGGGAATTGCCCCAAAAAGGGTTCCCTTGTCTGGTAGCGTGTGTGTGTGCGTCTGTGTAAGAGGGTCTCTGTGGGTGCTTAAACAGAAGCTGAGGTATCAATAACAATGTACAGCAGAGAGGCAGCAACATGCAACAACAACAACAATGCTGAGCCGCTTTATTAGCTGCTTGTGGGCAAAAATGACAAAGATGTCCTTTGCACACACATATACACTTGCATACTTAGACCCTCGCTAGGACCTTTGTCTATGTGCTACTTATAGCCGAATTTGAGCCCCTCGATGAGCTGCTGCGGTCTATGTGTCGCTTTGTGTGAACAGTTAAAACAATTTTGATTGTGAATAACTAAGTTAGGCGTGAGAATAGATAGCACAAGCTGTGAATGAATTCACGATTAGCATTTGAATTACTTAACTGAATAAAAGACGAGATTATAGCTTCAGAATTTCGTTATAGAAGCAAAGAAATAACTTAATAAGTTCAACTTAAAATTTGAGAATTTTCTAGGCTCCATGAGACTCGTCTATTGTTTGAATATATAATTGTATAAATAAGTTGTAAATTGTATAATAAAATATTATGAATTACCCTAAGATTCTCACCCAAATAGCCTGTCTATTCGTTTGGGCTGTGCAGACCAGAGATATACTAGTCCCTGCACTAGAGTAAGCATAAGGCTTAAACGTCACCAGCCTCAAAACCTACCTCACCGGATCTTGACTTACAACATATAAGATATATATAAGAACCTGCCTTGTAGCTACACTCTATAACTCTTTGTTATCCCAAGCAATGTATTCTGTGTGCGCAAAGAGACTATATTAATTCATTTCTGTCTAGATTAAATTTTCAGCCCCAGAAACTATGTTAATTAACGTCTGTTTAGATTGCTTAACTCCATTATTTAAAAATAAAACCTACTCGTGTGGTATATTAATTAAATTAACAATAAATAAATTCCTTGAACATTTTAATGATGTGAAACAAAATGCAGGTAACTGAGATACCATTAGCGTCAACATAACACATTTCTGTAAAATTTAATAAATTCAAATTAATATTATTATTTTACTCAAATTCTCAAAGATAAATCATTTCGTATTTTGAAATTTATAAGTCGAATTTAAACTAATTAGTGCTTAGATAATAATTCTAAATCGCAAGCAAATCAGAAGATGCATTTATATTATTAATTATTAATACAAACTGAATTTACAGAATATTCTCATTAAAATAAAAGCGATTCCCAAAATAGAAAACCGAGGCAAATTTCAATTAGGGATTTAGATTTCAGGATACAATAAGCACTGGCAATAATTGCTTGTAATATGCAGATATTTAGTGTGTGTGTTGGCGTGTGTTAACTATCTTAGGCAACTAAATTAAGTTGAAATTCATTTTGGCCTTGCAAGTGATAATATTGCCAGACTGCTGGCAATATTACATTTAATTTTTGCCACTCCCACTTGTACAACAACCTGAACATGCAATTATTTTGCAAAGTCTCTTTCTCTTGAAGGTAAATTTGCATTCAAGGATACTGCGTCAAGTGTGTAGAAATTGGAAAGCGTTGAATGCCATTGTGACCACATGGCAAATGCTTAACAGGGCGTATACTTAATAAAAGCTGCAAGTACATTTTCTGCTGCCGACATTTTAGTGGCTGCACTTATTTGTGTCTTCTTCAGTTTAATTTTTTTTGCCTACCATCAGTCGATGCTATGCGTACAATTTTTAATTAAAAAATTAATCATACAGGCAACAGAAAACGGAAAAGTAGCTGGCTACGGACGTATAGAGTAGGTAAGCAGAAATGTGCGACTAGTTGCGCTTTGTTGCTTTTATCTGCTTGACTCGAAGATAAATTTTAGCTGTGCGCATTTTATGGCAGCCTCCTTGACGAAATATGCGTGTGGTTGTCTAGCACCCGCTCCCAATGCTTCCCTCTCCCTGTGTCTCTATCTGTGTTTCCGAAAAGTATGCAGCAAGTTTATGAAAATTCTTTGTTTACGCCCAGGTGTGTGTGTGCGTGTGAGTGTACGTATGTGTGTGTGCTAGGTAAATTGTCTCGGTTTGTTAATTTTGCGTTCCTGTCAAATTTATATGCTGGTTAGCTCCAAGCAAACTTTCAGCTGACAGCCGAATTTTGTTTGTGTTCGTTTCTAATTTATGAGCACAATTAGATATGTGGCACACTGTGCAGGTACAGTTTGAAACTTGAACAAGCATTGTTTGTCTTTGGATTTAAGTGTAATTAAAAGGCGTTTGGTTTTGAAAATGCCATAAAATTTCAAAAGAGACCATTTTGGTGTAGGTAATCTCATTTTTTTTTAAAATAATCACGTTTATGTTCACACTTTTACATAAAATTCTGTTAACACGTTGAACTGCGTAATTACAGCTGCTGTAACAGCATATGTTATTGCACTAACAGACAAAATGCAATTGCAGTTCTGCTAACAGCGCACTTGTTGTGTTTAACAGTTTCTGTTATGCCATGAAAATATAAAAATACAGATCAAAAGCGCTGCAGTCTGCTGCGCTAACAGTGTATTTCCAAAAAACATTAAATTGTTCCGGAAAGCAGATCCTTTATGTATTAGACTTTAATGCATAAAATTTTATATAAAATAAAATTAAACTTATCAAAATAGGAATGAAACATTCGTATAAAGCGAAACAGAAGTATGCTGAAATATATATTAGAACTTAGAATATATAAATATATATACATATGTATATATTCATATGTTTGTATGTAGAATTGTACAGTTGGCGATCTGAAAATATAAAATTGTCTATTAATCTAACTTAAAACCACAAAACAAATATGAAGTTTGTGCTGCTTTATCACTTTTTTCAGTGCGAATATATTAGAACGCATCTGGCATCCCTTTCGCACACGCACAAGTTGCTTCCCGGCAAAGAGACAGATTTACATGGAAAACATTTTACAGAAAGAGGCACAAAACGTAACTAGAGCAACATAATGCAAACAGCATACGCATGCACACATATAGACACAAAGCCACACCTACATACACGCATACAAGCTATTTGAATGCCTAAATATTTTACAAACTAATATCAATTCAATTTGTATGCATTGAGAAATTGTGTGTGCGTGTCTATGGATGCCAAGGCATCGATGTGGCATTCCGACACACGCAGGTGACACAAGCTGCCCCAATAATTTATGTATTTCTAATAAGAGTAACATTCACATGTTATTGTTGTTGGGTGACAACACAATTTGAGGCTATGTGCAAGTGGGCACAACTCGTGCGGCCAGTTCTCTTTACTTGCTTCTTTCCCGCAAGCCGACAATAAGACATGTGGTCAATGTTCACACAAATTCACTTTTCGCCTAGCACTGAGAAAAGAACACATTTTAAATAAAGTACTGTAAATAAAATACGGGAAAATGGTGATCTCAGACTTTTATGGGTTTTGTGTATTTGACGGACTTCAAATGAAGGACGATGATGTCGGGTTCTCTCAATCTCAAGATTAAGGTTCAGCTTTTATACTCAAACTAACAAACTAAGCAAAACTGTTAACTAATATAATTATTTTTTTACTGGTTTATTCTAGCTGCAGAACGAGCAACACGGATATTTAAATTATACAACGATAATACACATATATATTTTATCAAACAAACTTTATCAAGTTATGTCAGTAAAACTTACATATGTGATTTACATAAAATAAATATTGAAATCAATTGTATTTTATTAAAGTCAGAATATATACAAAATAAAATTACACCCCGATATAAGCGACAACTTAGTTTTAAATTTTACTTTTATAACGTTTTATTGCAATTTAAAATAATTTACGCGCCACTTTTAACGGCACGACGTTTTCTGCCTGATAACAGCGGTATTTTTTAGGCACAAATACACAATCCGTATTTAATCATATCGACAGCTTACAAGTTATCGATAACTGTCAAATCTACGAAACTACGTGGTAAGCAAAAATAGTAATGGCAAATAAACCAAATAAAGACAACGGAAGCCCAAATGATTGGGATCAGAGCGATGAGGATGACAACTGGGACGATTGGGGCGATGGTGAAGAAGATGAGGATAAGTTTGTTCACATTGAAAAAGAGCAGCCGCCACACAACAACAAAGCAACGGAAGAGAAATCAGATAGAACTGTTAAAACTGAACTCGAGACAACAGCGGCTCCTCCTGCACCCGTCTCTTCCTCAACCTCCTCCTCTGGCTGGGGCTCGTGGGGAGGAAAGCTGAGCTCTGTACTGAGTACCGCCACCGAGGGCCTGGGCAACATAACAACCCAAGTGAATCAGGGCCTTAATCAGATAATTGGAGTGCCCGATCCAGAAGAGCTGGCGCGCATCAATGCAGCCGAAGAGGCATCCAAGCCGCCGAAACCAGAACAGCTCACAAAAGCCGAAACAGAAACAGTTACAGAAAAATCCGACTCTGGTGTGCCTGCATTTAATCTCGGATTGGTCACAACTCTTGGCTCGAAGGTACTCAACACGGGTCTGGACACACTCGAAGGCATCGGCAAAAAGACAATGAACATATTGCAAGAGAACGATCCGAAGCTGATGAACAAACGTAAATTGCTGGGACTCGAGGCAAATAAACCCAATTTGAGCGCCGTGCTGCTAGAAGCTAAGAAGGATGCAGACCAAATGGAGCAATCGCTGCACGAATTGCAACTGGAGAAACGAAAGGCGCAGCTGCGCTTCGATGTGCTCTTCGAGAACTATTGTGGCCTAGTTCACTACGAGGCACTGGAAATACTATCCAAAGAGTCGCGTCTGAAGCTGGACACGCTGCTCGATGCGGTTAGCGGGCAGGCTCTAAGCGAGCTGCAGGCAAGACGAAATAAAATTCAAGTTCAAATAAGTTACATATTAATAATATTCATTGTGATGCAGGAAACTATAGACGAGGTCAAGGAGTTACTGGAACTAGAGGATTTGGAGTGCGACAGCGAGGGCGACTATACAGCTGAAGAGCTTGGCCAGCGTTTGATGGCCACGATAGCTGACGCAGAGCTGGGTATTAAATTCGATGATGTGGCTAGGTGACCAGGCATAAAGATTTATAATTGAATGTGTATACTAATATAGGCATTCCCTTTGCAGTCACTGGACGCAGTCGCTCAGCTGGTTGAGCTCAGAAGAAGCAACCGTTGCTGATCTAGAACAGGCCTATGCGAAGAGCATCAATGTTTTGAGTGAAGCATGTGCCCTACAAATGTGTAAGCTGCACAAAATCGCTGAACTGATGTTGGTGAAGCCGCATCACAGCACTGCCAACGAGGTAGATGGCATCGTGCATCTCTGCAAGCAATTCAATGGACATCTTCAAGGACTAACGCAACGATTTGCTGCGCTCCTGAGCAGCAAGAGCGATGCCTCCGACTCCGTGCAACAGGACGAATGCAAAACAAGGGTTAATACATACTTTAACGAAATGTTGTCCGCTGTCAAGTATATCGAACAGGCCTATAAACTCTTTACCCCCATATTGCAAATGGGCGCGGTTTAGTAATCCAAATCTTGCTAGCTTAAATGTTGTTATAATACTATATTATAAAGAATTAGCTACATCTATCCTCATTTTGTGTATTGGTTTTTTGTTTTTATATAAATATATAACGAATTCTTTTCGATTTGTGATACATGATTCTCATTGTAATGTTTTAAATCCCTTTAATCTAAAATAAAGCAGGGGCTGTTAAAATTTGTAAAACATTCGCAGACGAAGTTATTAACTGTATGCATAGGCATTCTGTTAATCTGCTTAACAGCCTAAAGCCTTTCGGTTTCTAGTGCAATTACAGCGCTAGCGACGTAGAATCTACGTGCTAACTATATGCTACATACAACGTACTATTCTCAACAGTTTGTTCTATGCTAGTAAACAGTCTATAAATGAATTCTCATTAACTTTCTGTTCTTCTAAACACAATTAAGCAGTTGTCTTATAATTTGTTTTTATTACTAATTATACAAATTATATATTTTCTTAGCTCTGTCTCATAGTTTACATTGTACAAATTGAACAAACTTTTAGCTTAATTAATAGCGCTTGTTTGCCAGCAACACAGTGAAATTGAGCTGCCGCACAGATATATTAACCAGCTGGCCAAAAACAAAAAACATACTGGTTTATAAAAACATTACTTTGTTGTTTGTTCTTTAATTCCTCCACTTTACATGGCTGTTCGTTGGTTCAGTAACAATCGCGCGCTCAACAGTATTTAAAATCTTAAATCTGGCTTGTACTTAAGCATGTATCTGCAAGAAAGAATTTATATTAAATAGCGATTTAAGATTAATAGAACATTTCGGGGCATTTACTTGTCCAGTGTCTCCCAAAATTTACTCAGCACAGCTCGATCCAAATGCCTTTTATTTTGGGATAGACGCAACAGCGTCACAGACCAACGTTCCACATTCGCATCCAATTTCAGCTCACTGAAACACAAGTGAAAAGCGCAAACTGCAAGGAAAAAGGACACTAAATGAATACACTTTGTGATAATTCAAGAATTGGTTACATACTTTTTGAGAATATTTCCACGGGATTTCCATCCCAGGGCCAGCCTTTGAATTGCCATTGTGGACCCATGACGAAAACAGCGACAACGCGCTGCCAATCCTGTTGGCTGAGCTTAATAGGATTGTCGACAACACGATACGAGACAGTCTGATTATTGCGTTTACGCTAAAAGAATTTTTAAAGAATTAAATTGAACTCGAAATCATATTAGGTTTTGGTTTACATGCAACAACACTTCGCTCTCACGCTGACAGCCCTGTAGCTTCTTCTCCGACGTGGACATGAAGCGCAAATCCTGCAGTATATCCTTAACATTTAACATTGTTATAAGGCTCGTGTTGGCAGAAGGTATTATAATAATGGGTGTACGCGACGGCCGCTTCTGTGGCCCGTTCGCTGGCAGTTGTCGAGCTTGTGCCGCGGGCAGCAGATCTTTGGGCGTAGCACGTGTTACAGCTGTGGGTGTGGCTGCAGCTGCACCAGCACCATGTGGCATACTTGCCTGAGCCTTGCGCTGTGCCAACGAACCCTCTGTCACGGATTTGAGCGACATGCCGTGATATGTGCCCAGCGTATCGATTTTAAAGCCTTCAGTCTCCTCCTTCTGACGATTGAAACGTTCCTGATCGTAACGATTGTATTGCGACAGCTGCGGCTGTGGCTTGGTAATGCGCGCCGGCTCAGGCATCTTAATGGGATTCGGTGCCTGTGGCCGATTACGTCCCTCCTCACGCGCTTTAATACCCTGAAGCATAGCGAAAATATTCTTGGCAAACACTTTGCCTGTGCTCTGCAGCACTGAGGTGCGTGTACGCCATTGCCTTTCGCGGCTTATAATATCCTTCGTGGAATCCACGTCGTAATCGAGTATAGCGCGCAGATCTGTGCCCATGGCTTCTTCATTGTCTGTACGCTTGATTGTAGTACGCTTGTTGGCCAAACGTTTCGCCTTGATGGCCGCAATCTTTTCCACTGACATCGTCTCTGAGAGCGACTTAATATTGTCCATGTTGACGGCCGTTTCCTTCTGATTGACATCCCAGCGTGCAGCCAACTGTTCGCGCACCTTCTGCACCTGCGTCTCTTCGAAGCGAGCTTTTTTGGCTGCCGTCTCACCGCTAGTCGCCGCATCTCCATCGGCTGTACGCTTCACTTGTGTGGGTATCTCTAATGGAGCACTTTTGTCGATGCTGGCGCATGTGGGCGTCTCGCCATTGAGATAAGCAAGCAGTTCCTTACGATCGGGCCGATTTACGGCGGGTATATCCTCGGCAGCACACTGCCGCACATACACCGAATGCTGTAGCATAACATTTTTGAGCAAATACAATAGGCACTCGAGTGTATAATATTCACGTGGAGCCCCCTTTTTGCCAGAGCTGCAAAAAAGTTGCGTTGACAAAAAAGAAGAGAATATATAACAATATTTCGGGTGAAATGTTGGTTAGCTATTTACCCATATTTGAGATAATTAGTCTTAACACTCTTGGGCCAGGAGAATTCACCAAAAATAATTTGATTATCACGCTCGATTATCTCCTTTTTGTTTATGTTGTATTGCCGCAAGAGACTTAGCGGATCCGCCATTTTTGTCTATCCTTCGTTTTACGCTACACGAGTTGCTCGTCCTTGTCGCTGTTATTGTAACAATTTATTAGGTTAACGGGCAAAACAATTATATACGAAAATATAACAAAAGTTGAAAATTTAGCTATTTTATTTTAGCATATTTTTCACTTCTCACATCGCGTATTTTGGTTTGCTGCTGCTGCTTCTTCAACCAAACGAAGCTGTCAGACTCAACTACTCGATAGCTGAACGTTCAAGCGTTGCCACACGACGTATGTATTCGATACATTTTTCGTTCTATTATGAGCTCGACATATGAATTATATCGAATTGGCCTGCCGGCAGCCAAACAAAATACGAGAAAAATGTGGCCTCCAAGATAGAAAAACAAAATAACCACTTCTTTAATAATTTAAACATAAAATGCACACCACAACACTCCATTATACGGCCACTTTGTATACGTGCATACGACAGTTTGAGTGTTTGACAAATCGCAAATGTTTATGAAAGTTTCGTGGAAATTTATACCAAAATATTCTAATCATTAGCTACTAATGTGTAAAGTGCATTCAATACATTAAGAATGGGACAGTCGGCGGGTAAAATCGGTAAGTCAAGTCAATTAGTAAATATTAACACAGTGCATTATTAACACTTGGCCCGCTGTGTGGGGTCATGTCGTATGCCTATTTATATAGCAAGTAAACTGCTTGTGGGCAGCCCAAGAGCAGTGAATAGCCATATAGCTTATGTTTCGTGTATGTAGTCATTTGATTTCCTATTGCACATTTGCCAATTGGAGTTAAAGACTGCGTGCCGCATTCCAATGGGGTTTGTGACCTTCTTTCAGCCCCAACACGCGCACTGTAACAGCTGTTTGCCTTAGCGATGACACTGTGCTGTGCTTCCGATAGTTTTCGAAAGTTACACTTTGAAAGTAAATGCAAAAAGGTGGCAACGCTGAAACCAATGCCGAATATTCGTTTCAAAAATTCAAAATTATAGCACTATTTACGACAGCGCTCTTTGTTTTTATAACAGTATATTCTAAAAATGTAGTATTTATTGCATAAGCTCCGAAAGAAACAGGAAAAATAGTCCTAATCCAATTTCCTCTATTTCTATTAACATTATGAAATAAATAAAAATATAAATGTTTATCATATTTTAGAATATTTCTGATTTTTCTATACAAAAGAATACAAATTTATGAATTCATAAAAGCTATTCAGTATTAGGTGAGGATTTCAGTAATAATTTATAGAATTGAACTCTTTTAAAAGGTCTAAGGACCAATAATTACTGCGATTAGCATTGAACTGAATTAAATGAGATACTTAAGTATGGCTCATAGTTGCATAGACACCTTTTTACCTAACAAAACACCTGTACAATGCGTACAAGTATCCTTTATGTCATTTTACGAAAAGGCAAAACCTGTCTCAATGCAATAAGGACATCAAATCCTTAAGCAGCTTAGGGCTACGGAAAGTCAAAAATCTGAAGTAGTGTGGAAAAACTCTCACACGGCTATGCAAACAGTTTTTTTTATTAATAGACGGGCGCGAACATTGACGTAATGCAAGGATTTCATGTTACAGGTGCAAAGTCCAGTTACCTGTGCTGTTACCTGATTATAATTTGGAATACTCTACCCCAAAACCAGGGGAAATCTTTCTGATTTCAATGCAGGCCTTAGACAATAAATTGTAGAATTTATGGCAATGGTTTCTTACAGAAAGCAGCTTGTAGGAAAAGTAAGGAAAGGACAGCGAAGGATAATGGAAACCCCAATAAGTGAAAAAGCAAGAAAAGACACCGAGTACAGACAGGTAGACAGGCACAGCATTTTGACCCTGACCGAAACAAAGGGACAAAACAATGGCCAAGGAACTCAGCCAGAACTCACTCGGCATCAATCTCTATATATGACTTGGCAAATACGCCAGGTTTTCCACACAAAAATGTCGAAAGTTTTCTTAAACAAGGCAAACATCGACGCAAGGACTCGCTGGGCATCAAACTGCAAATATGACTTGCCGAACACGCGAGTTTTTCCACATTTCCTAACGGTTCGTGACGCGTACGATTCCCACTTATTCCCGCTCTCCTCACATATGTTGATTTTTCTCGCTGTGTATTTTGGCGGGTATTTTTGGAATGTTCGATTCTTATATTTGATTAGCGTATGCGGATGCGCCTGCGCAAAAGGAAGTGACGGCGTGCAAACCCAAAAAAAAACGCTAGATTTTGATCGGTTTCACCCTCAGCTCCTATATACATATGAAACTCCTGTCCTGCCCCGCCAAGCTGCACAACTGCCGCAGTCGCAGGTATGCAGCAGCCAAAAAGGATCGTTTTTATATATAGACTGTTTCCTATGCATTACATGTAAACATATGTGTACACGGCAAGAAAAGTATTTATAGTTGTTCATAGTAAATTTGATTGAGGAAAATCTTAGGCTGTATTTTAAACAATTTTTTTAGATAAGTAAAATCAAATAAAATCAAAACCAATTAGACGAAATCTAAATTTTAAGAAGCATTTTAAAATGATTCCAAATTTGAAAATCTAGTTTTTTCACTTATTTATAATTTACTTGTTTTTATTCGTTTTGTGTTCCATTTTTTTAGGATTTGAATTTGTAGTTTCAATAAAAAATGTGAACGAAATGTATTTTAAAATTTTATTTTAAATTAAAAAAAAAACACATTTTTTATATTATTTTATTCGTTATATAACTTGTTTAAAGTAAAAATTGTCTATTTGTTGAGCTTTTAATATATTTAATTAAAATTCATTATAAAGCTCAATTTATTTTATTTCAATAACTTAAGACATACACTCAAATTTCTCGTAGTGTAATGTCTGCTGCTGTCGCTCTCAAGTGTTTGCGTAATTTTCATTCTTTCGTTTCCTTGCTTAAGACTGGATTAGTTTTCTATATTTATATACAATACACAACAGTTGCTATTCTCTCTCTCTCTCTGTCTCCGTCACTCCCTTGCTCTCTGTCATATGTGATCCTCGAGATCCTTTGCATATGTCGTTTTCTAATTAAACACGCTATGGGCAACATTTTTCCTCTGGATATTTGTTACACTTTTCGTCTCTAGAGCTCAGTTCGATGCGATTGATCCAAGTTCGAAGATAAAGGAATGAGGGTTTCTTTACCTTTTTACAGCTGCGCTGCTTATCCAGGTGTTTGGTCGATGAGCAACAAAAATAACAAATATTTAAATTGCTTGAATCAAACTTTGACTTCTGCGCACGTTTCAAAATATAAAATCGTTTAACTTCCGATAACATTAATTTCATTTTCATTTAGTTTATCTTTTATGCTGAAAAGCTCCATGTCATATCTATGGCTAATTTATCTATGAACCACTTGAACCCTTCATTAAATATAATACTCCGACGATATATTGATATTAAGTTCAATTTAGATTTAATAGGCAATTGTCTTTTTATCTATTCACACTCGAGCTGCTTGTCTATCAAGGTTAAGGTGTTTACATTCACCTGCTTGTGCTGAAATTGAAATTTTATCACATCATTTAGATAAACTTGATATCGTTTTATTGGTCTGAAATGTGATGTGATATACTTTACATGCATTATTTTAAAGATAACATTTAGATATATAGAGAAATAAATTATTTTTATAAAGAAAAAATACTTTTTTTAAGAGGTAAATATTATTTCGTTAAGGTCGAAGTAGCTCTAATCTGACTGCTTAGAAGGACACATTACAGGGCAGATCTTCAGGATAATAGATCTTTCTAAGAGCTTCATCATCTGAACTAGTTGATTTTTTTAAAAGTCTGATTATTTATATCCTATTTAATTTGGGAGTCTGAGTAAGTCCAATACTACAGAATATATCTTGAGAAATTATAAACTAATCACAAAATTTTAAACGTTAATCAGTTTACTTACAAACAGAAACACAATACGCTACAACAAATAAACTTTTTAACTATTTTCTTTAACTTCATTGATTTAAAATCCATTTTCAAACAAATTTCGAACTACTTAGTCAATATACTCTAAATATATAGCCTAAACTGAGCTATTCGTAGCGCTTACCTTTTGCACGTACAAGAATGAACTTTTCCAGAAGTATTTATATTCTATTGGGTATTGAAACTTTGGATGAAGGGTTGGCATGAAGCCGCATATCGTGAGGCTTAGAAAGGAATTCGTAAAGTAAAGTCATTTCAAGAAGCTTTCTAGCTATAAGAGCTCTAGCTAAAGTGAATCCTAAGTGAAGTCTATTTAAACAGCTGCGTAGCTTTTGTGGTAGAAACTGCCTTAAGGACATTTGTATTAGCAAATGTCTGATCCTGTGGTTTCTTCTCTTTTTTTTGTTTTACTATTTATATTAAATATGTGGACAACTGTTGTCTGCGATGCCGAGGACTCTTGATGAGGGATAATAATTGCTTTGCCGGCCACAGCGATGTCTGGCAAATGCTTTTACAGACGCTGACAGCAGATGCAATTCGCCAGATCGGAAAGGATCAGCAAACGGACAGACAGACAGATAGACGGGCAGAAGGACGACAGACAAAAAAGCATTTAAATTTTGATATTAAAGTGGGAAATGCATATTCAGCATCCTGGCTGGCAGCAGGCGCGCGTTCCATCTTAAATGCAAGGAAATACAGCTGCTGTCGCTGAGCCTGGCCGAAAGTAAAGCAACAGCAGCAGAAACAGGACACGCTGTCGAAACAGGAACCACCAGTGCAAAAATCGAAAAACCTACCCCCAATAATATATATATATATACATACACATATATCGTGCAGATCGCTCGCATCTGTGGCTGCATTTTGCATTGAAAGGGTTTTTCAGTTTGTTTGTTTGCTCGCTGGCTGACCAAAAATAAAAACCAGGTGTAAATTTTACCTCTCTCAACTCCTTTATCCGCTCACATGACGATCATATGCATAGCGCAGCGCAGGCCAGCACTGGGCTTGGCTCTTTGTTGAGGCTTGACAAACACGTGGCGGACGTGCGCCAGTTGTCTGTCGTTGATAAGACTCCACCAGGCCTTAAACATACATATGATATAGACCACATATGCAAAGTATATTTAGATTTTTGCCCATACACTCAGCGAAATGTAATTTTCTTTAAAATAGAAGATCCTATTTTGCTGCTTCAAATTTGAGCATGATTTTGATAGTGTTTTCCACCTAGAATTTAAGCATACTTTATATTGATCTTGGCTTGACAA